CACTTCTTCCACTCTTTGACTCAAAACTTAATAATTTTTGGCACAAAACTAAATGAGAAGCAATTTTTTGGACAAATTTATTAGTTTTACAATTAATTGGTATTTTAATCGCATTTATATTTAATTTATTAATTAATAAATAACTCATTATTAATACAATTACTATTAAGTGTTATTTTAAACACAATTAAACCACAAATACATTGAAATCAATTGAATGACGAAATGCTTGAAAATAAATACAAATATTGCAAACATTTGTAACTCCAGTCATACCTATTATTAATGCCTTATTTATGCCATTATATCACTCATTATGTGATCCATTAGTTATGAAATACTTTCAATCAAATTAACTCAAAATGAAGAGTAAATTGTATGAAAATCTTATGGTTTTCAATATATTTAGTGTGAGTTTAACGGTTAGAATGAATCAAATTTAGTGGCAATACATGTGAGTGTTGTGTCGTGTTGTGTGCTTTTGAGCGCACATTTCAAGTGCCTTCACATTATTAACGTCCGAGAGATTGGAGTATTGACTCTAATACGGGTAAAGTTTATAATTACAGTAACTAACTTCGTATATATTAAGCGCTCATACATGAATAATCTATGACCATTACATTAATAAATTGTGATGACTAATCGATTATTCAAAATTTACAACAAATTAATATTGTGTGCATCACTTGAACATAATACTTTATCAATACAAGTTCAAAAAACTTTCTAAAATCATTTTTATCTATGGCATAGATTCTATGCCTATACTATAGGCCCTATAGGGGCCATATGTCTGCATTTTGGACACATTTTAAAGATCATTTGTAACCACAATTCTGCATACAATGTGGTTTATAGCCTAAATTATAGGATCGGCATTATTAACAATTGCAAGTTTAAATCATTGATTAAACTTTAATCATTAAAGCTAATTATGTAATAAACAGACATTTCATTTGCAAAATAAATGATTCTTTTATTATATTGAATCAATCGATCGAATAAATTAAAATCATAATACAGTTCAGTATTTATGAAGCTTTTGTACAATATTTATAAATTTTAATTAAATCTTTTAGTAAATCTTTAACGAAATATCAATAAAATATTTTTATAAAAATTCAATATTTTTGGTTTTGATTGAACTTAAAATCAATGACTGATTGGCGGCAATGGATGGCAAGAATCACTTATCGGACCAGACATTCAACGCATAGTTTTGAGGGTCCGATACAATCCGAATGACAGAAAGCGTTGCATAGTTTGCATGCAGTCATTGATTTGTCAGTACAGGACCCGTGCATACAGTCGGCGGATCCATTCCTCCCAAGTATCGGCACATTGTTTTCACTCCATTCCAACATTTGATCAGTTTTTGAGTCACTGTTTGTATGGGAAGAGTCGCCGACGGTATGTATGCGCCGACACTGAGAGACGTAAAAGATTTTGTTGTTAGGACTGGACTCGAGAGCGCGTCTGCAGATGAGGAAAGAGCGCTCTTCATCGACACCCTCTTCGTTGACAATTGCGGTGGCGTTTCGTTTTTGCGCCGACACTGAGAGACGTAAAAGATTTTGTTGTTAGGACTGGACTCGAGAGCGCGTCTGCAGATGAGGAAAGAGCGCTCTTCATCGACACCCTCTTCGTTGACAATTGCGGTGGCGTTTCGTTTGCGAGACAATCGTTTAACTTTGCATTCATTTTCATTATCTTTTAATAAAATCTCTGTTTTATTAATAATTTTAGTGGAAGTGCTTATAGTGTCCGGAGTTTCAGATGTCGCCGGATTAGATGTCAACACAACGGCGTCTACTTTACACATAAGGCCATCACTGGCCGCAGGCAATGGTTCCGAAACAATGCCATTACAGTTGAAAACTGAATCTACTTGTGATTCATTACTTTGAATGCAATTATTTTGTGCGCCAAAAGTATCCCCAATAGTAAGTCCAATGGATTCGGTCTTTGCATTAGTTTTTGACAAATGATTTTCAAACGTAACAACTTTTGCAGCATTTTGTAAATCGTTGTCAATTGTAACCACTTTTGGATTTGTCATTATTTGTTTAGTATTTCTGTGAGATTTATACTTTTTAACAGAATATAAACGGTTTTTATGAATTCTTCGGACGGATTCTGGCTCTGAATGACAGGCATTAGATTTCTTTGGCTTTGATTTAGGGATGCGTTGGAATTCATTGATGGCATCGCTCTGTGATTCCAGTCAGAATATAAACGGTTTTTATGAATTCTTCGGACGGATTCTGGCTCTGAATGACAGGCATTAGATTTCTTTGGCTTTGATTTAGGGATGCGTTGGAATTCATTGATGGCATCGCTCTGTGATTCCAGTGTTTGTCCCCAAATGGGTTCAAAGTGTTTCACTTTAAACGGATCTAATTTGCTCTTCTCTTTCTCGATGTCTACTTTCATTCTTTGGATGCACTCAACGGTCAGTTTACTGTCGGAAAGTCTTTCAATCCATGACTGACACGATTTGGCGAAGAACTCATTGCTTAGCGCTGAAGAACTCGGTTTAATCCATCCGTCGGGAGTCAACACACGATCAAACTTTGGCAGCAATTGAACCAATTTGTGCTGATAATAGACCGGTAATGACGTAAACGATTGTTTGTTCAAAAGTGACCTCAAATTCGTGTCAATCAGAATAGAGTCGGCAGAAGACAAGTGTTCGGAAGGGAGGGCATCAAGTCGGTAAACACTCCTAACTGACGTGAAACGAAACGGAGGTTAAGAAAAGCCAAAGTGCGAAAGTTGGTTAAATAAGTGAAGTTTCAGTAGCGAGCTGAGTTACGTCAACTTCTTCGGTTTGACACCATTTATAGCATTACTTTTCAGGCATTTCTTCTCAAAATTTGTTTTTATTTGAGAAATACATCTCTTGGAAGTGTTCACAGCAATTGAAGCCACAGTACTCTCAGTGTTTATATTGTTTGGACACTGACTCTGCATTTGCTCTTCAATTAATGCCTTTCTGGTCACACTTCTGGTCGCACTTCTGGTCACACTTCTGGTGTGAGACTTGTGTGGATCCGATACACGAGACAATTGGTGACTTGCAGGACAAGTGGTCGTAGCATTAGGTGCATTGGCCGTCATTTCACTAGTGATGGCCAGCTTTGGTGTACTCTTATTGTCATTCATTTGATGGCAACTCTTTGGCAGCGAATCCTTATTATGATTGACACTCTGTTTGTCATTAATTATAATATTAGTATCGTTTGTCTCAACACTCATATAATGGCCATTATTTGTGTCATTTGTCGATAATGTCGTTAAAATTGCTGTTAATATAAATGATATTAATTTCTAAATGCAATCAAAACTGAATAATAATATAAATTATAATTACGTTTACAGTTGTCTTGCGTTACAATATTTGCAGTCATTTTCATTCAATTTACAAATTAATTAGATTTNGATAATGTCGTTAAAATTGCTGTTAATATAAATGATATTAATTTCTAAATGCAATCAAAACTGAATAATAATATAAATTATAATTACGTTTACAGTTGTCTTGCGTTACAATATTTGCAGTCATTTTCATTCAATTTACAAATTAATTAGATTTTGAATCAATTTTTAACATTTGTTTACATTTAATAATTATTGCAATCGTTTTAATGAAACACTTTTCATAGCAATAGTAATATTGGTTTGAATAACAATTGAATGAATGATTCAATCATACAATTAGTATTGAATTGAAAACATATTTGAATCACAATTAGTACTCAAAATGACAACAATTTGTTGAATGCATTACCAGTTGTTGTATTGAATGCGCAATCATTGCAGTCATTACAAGTGATTACAACTAAACCAAACCAAACAACTATTCTCTTCATATATAACGTAAGGGGCATCTCATATATGACCCCTATATATTATAGTACATTAGTAAATACTGTACAGTATTACAAATAATATTATAAAAGTATATGGGTTAGTTTAGGTTAGTTTGGTTAAGTTAGGTTAGGTTTAACAAGCTAATTTTATACTTTAATTTCGCTAATATTTTTGAGCAAATGTCATAGACCCAGTATTATTACATGTACAGTATAATATCAGATAGTTACTATATCTTATAATTTTCTAATATAGAATCTAATAATGTATAAAACAGATAAAGAACATTATAAACATAGATTCTATAATTAAATATACACAAAAAAAATTATAAAAAGATTGTTTATGTGTTTCAAATTCATTGAATAATTTGCGCTAACTTTCATTCAAACACTTTTATTACACTTATTGTAGTTTCAAATCATTGCAAACATTTGGATATTTTTTATTTAAAAATTGAGCAAAACTTTACTGAATTGGACTTTACTATTCGGAATTGAAAAGCAATTAAAGAATAAATGTGTAAATCAATGACATTGTGTTGATTGCATTCAGTGATCAGCAATGATAGGAAAGGTAGGCTCAGTAGTGACGCCACAGTTGTTCTCCTTTTGACTCATGAGGACATAGCCATCATTACCCCAATAAGTAGACCACGAGTTCTTAATGAGCCAATACTTCTCCCCTTTAAGGCTTCCAAAGCCAACCGCCAGAACCTATTGACAAATATATGACAGATATAAGAATGTGTCCACTAATAGAAGACTTGAGGGCAGACCTGATGATCAAGATTTTCTGGTTTATTACCACAATTGGGCTCATAATATACACCACTCGAGTAAAATGAGAGCGATTTATGTGAGGCATCGATGGCAACAGTAACGGGTCCCTCGTAGTAGAGAGCAGTTGCCAGCGCTTCCGTGTCTCCAGAAGTCACGTTATAAAAGCCCTTCAAATGAATTGTTTTCTTCACACTCTTGTCGTGACACTTGCCGTCAACTCCCAGATAGTGGCCGTAATCGTCTTCAGTTGACAATCCGTTTGCTTTCATTATATACTCATAGGCTCTAAAGTCCTCTCCGCCATCACATCCATTGTCGCCTTCATTCCAACTGCAATCTATCAACTGTTGCTCTGAAAGTTTCACTAAATGACCGCTCTTTACAAAATAAACCCCTTCTATAGTGCCAGTCGTGCCTAACAAACAACAATCATACCAATTGATTCAATTCTAACCATAAGCAATAGATTCAATCAACTCACCAAAAGACCAACATGATCCACAAACTTTTGAAAAACAACATTTTATTATAATTATTGGCAATAAATAGTTTGAGAACACATACCGGCCTGATCTTTGACAGGAGTGACGGCACCACTTAATCTCCAGTCCCACTCTTCAGGTATTGCTTCAAAGGAATATTGAGTTTTATCGAAATCTTGTCCTCCATTGTAAGCGACGCCTGAATATTGTTTTCCTCTTAAATTTTTGATCTCGAAATCAGTCATATCTGCCAAATGGTTGACAGAAAGTCTGTACCGAATATTTTCCCTGTTTTTCGATGAAATAAATCTAAGATTTTGTCTAAAGATCTCTTTGCGTCCCCTTTCATGGGTTGAGTTCGTATAGCTTTTGTTATGTTTGTTCTGAAATTTAGTAAATTCAATGTCGACATGACTTTCCACTCCATTTATAAACTCTCTGATGGGATTGTGATGTCCAATGTGTTCAACGCCAGGACCTGGGAATGATCTGCACGTATAGTTTGTCGGTAAATCAAAAACTTGCGGATCAATAGCACCGGACTTATAATTTTTGTAAAACACTTCATATTTATCATAATGTGAGCCGAGAAGGGAATCGTAGCCTTGCATTAGATACTGAACTGGACTGGGATTGCCTTTACTGTCTCTCAAGAGCCAAAATACATATTTATTGCTTTTCTCGCCATAAGTGACAGAATATTCCCATCGCTCACAAACAGCTTTCGCTGGTAAGAGACCAAACAAATCGGAACAGATTTCAGTTCCAGACTTTTTAAATGCCGTTAAATCGGGTAAAAGTGGTTGAGAAGTAACGGGAACTTCTTTAGTGCCATTTATACGAAAACACACTTTCTGTGCGTTTCCTTTGGGGTCAACCATATAAGCAAACTTATAGTTAACGCCTCCGTCCGATAAATCGGCTCTTTGTATGGTTTGAACTAAATCTCCGTAATAGTCGACTCGACTCCTATTATTAGATCCGTCGAAATAAGCGACAACTGGTTCTTTGATCTCTGCATAGGGAAGCGATAGCACGGCTTCAACGTAATAGGTATCACCAAATTGTGGCGCTTCTATCTCTTCTCCATAACTTCCAGCAACAATAAGTGCCGCTAAATTATTTTTAATTTGTATAATTATAAAATTTATACACATTTAAAATTATTACCTGAATATAATAGAAATGTTGGCAAACATTTCATTTTAAACATTTCAAGAACTTTTCAACAAATCTATATTAAAAATTAATTTATATAAAAATAAAATGATCTTATATACGATTAAAACTAAATTTTAAAAAATAAATGTAATATCTCACATTTATTGTTGAATATTAAAGAGAAATATTAAATTAAAATATAGAAAATGTCAGTTAAAATAACTTAAAATAAAATGAGAAGTCTTTGTTTGAAAGACTTTGAAAGATGGTGTCCGCACTTCAATCACTTCAAATTGATTATAAGTTATCTCTATTTGTATATTTAGTTATAAGTTATCTATTATACGCCTTTTCTGTGGATTATAAATTATTGACTTGTATTTCCAGTAATAATCAATCACTCAAATTGAATGATAAGTTTTTTTTAATCTAAAATATAAGTTTATTTTATTAATTGTTTAAATATTTAATTGTGTCGCTTAACATTCATATAAAACAATCATACATTGAGTTTAATTAGATTAACAAATAATCTTTAAAATTAATTTATTGCAAACTTGCATTTGAAGTTTAAGTTCATTTTATGCGTTGAAATATATTTTTCAATGCTTAAGTTTAATGCCATAACTGAAAATGAGTTTTAACATTATTTTCAATTGCTACGAATACTTGCACTAACATTCATATGCGTATCCTTTGGATATTTAACCAGAATTACGATATCCAATAGAATCTGGAAAATTACATTAACAGTATGTTATGTTGAATTATTTGTACCGAAATACCGGCACATGATTTTGACACAAAATGTAATGGACGTGATTCAGGAAATTTATATTCGTAGCAAATTAATTGTGTTTTACGTTTCATTTATTCAATTGTATAAAATTTTATATTTTAATTGATTTCCACTTAAATTTATTAATTAAATCAATTAATTTTATTATTTAGTTAATTATACAATTGTTTTAATTTAA